CCACCGCCGCGCCCAGCCTTGGGGCCGCGGCCCTTCCCGGAATGGATGTGCGCTGCAGATGCAGACTCATCCACAGCAACAGAAACGTCGGAGAAGGTGCACTGAGCGCGGGCACAACCTTGAAAGATAGGGACCGGCACAGTACCGCTGGTCTGGGCGATAGAGCGCTGGCGAGTCTCTATGGCAGACAGGGTGTCGACAAAGTTGTGAGGGTGAGGTCACTGGGGTGGATGCTAAGGAAGCGGTCGCATGCAGGAGCAAAACGGTCAGGGAGGCGCGTGGCAAGCAGGTAGAGGATAGAGCAGAGGGGCGGCTGAAAGGCTCTAAGCTGGGTCGCAGTGCAGGCAGCGCGCCAGGTCGCGTCTATCGTGCGGAGGTGGGCAGCGAGGTCAGCGACAGTAGGGAAAGACGCAAGGTCAGGGAAGAGCATCGGTAGGATCAGGCGACCTACAGAGGCAGCAGGCGGGGTGGAATAGCGCTTGACCACGACATCGAGAAATTCATGACCAGTCGTGACTGACCTAAAGAAGCGGCGCTCAGACAGGGGGAGGGCATGACTGATCGCAAGCTGCGCGGCGGCGGCACGCGACAGCCAGACTGAGCGGGCAAGGGCAGCAGCTGCGGCAGACTCACGGTCAGTGGACCAGGGGTCAGTGGGATGGGGAGCAGGGGGGTTAGGGCATGAGTGCGTACCGTCAAGGTGGATCGCCGGGGAGTGGCCGTCCTGCCGCTGACCAGTGAGATGATGACGGAGGTCGACCAGCCACATGGCAAAATCGAGCGGCTGACCACTTCGCGTCGAAGCGGAGCACAGAGTCCGCCATCAGGAGCGATGCAGCAGCGGTGCAGTGCTGTGTAGTGCGGTGCGGAGCAGTGCGGTGCGGGGCAGAGCGGTGCAGTGCGGTGTAGAGCGGTGCTGTGCGAAGCAGCGCGGTGCTGTGCAGTGCAGAGCGGTGCGGTGTGGTGCAGAGCGGTACTGAGCAGCGCAGTACGGTGCAATGCGGTGCTGTGCTGTGCAATGCGATACTGTGCGGTGCTGGAGGCCGGCGGCGTGCCGGCTGACGAGGAACGGGCGCGGGGCCGACGAGGAGCGGGCGTAGGGCCGATCAGGAACGGGCGCGAGGGCCGGCAAGGAACGGGCACGGGGGCCAGCGAGGAACGGGTCGAGGGGCCGGCTAGGAACGGGCGCGGAGCCGACTAGGGCGGGCGTGAAGGCCGGCTAGGAAAGGGCGCGGAGGCCAGCGAGGAACGGGCGCTAGGGCGTCTAGGAATGGGCGCGCTGGGGCTAGCTGGATCGGGCGTGCGGATCCAGTGAGGAACAAGCGCGAGGGGCCGGCTAGAGCGTGCGCGGGGGCCGGCTGGAGCGGGCGCTAGGGGGCGAGGGGTCGGCTAGGACGGGCGCTGGGGGCCGGCGGAAACGGGCGCGAGGGCCGGTTGGAACGGGCGCTAGGGGGCAAGGGGCCGGCTAGAACGGGCGCTAGGGGCTGGCTGATGGGCGCACGGGCCGGCGAGGAACAGGCGCTAGGGGCCGGCTGGGACCGGCGCGCGGGCCGGCTAGGAACGGGCGCTAGGGGCCGGCTCGGCCGGACGCGTGGGTCGGCTAGGAACGGGCGCTAGGGGCCGATTGAATGGGCGCAAGGGCCGGCTAGGACGGGCGCGAGGGGGGGCCGGCAGGAACGGGCGCTAGGGGCCGGCTAGAACGGGCGCGCGGGCCGGCGAGAACGGGCGCGAGGAGGCCGGCAGGAGCAGGCGCTAGGGGCGGGGGGGGAACGGGCACGCGGCTAACTAGGAACGGCGCGACTAGGGGGGAATGGGTGGCTAGGACCTAGAGCGGAAGCGTGAGCGGGCAGCGGTTGATACCATGTCAAAACTGAATAATGATTAGAATAGGAGGGTACAAGGTAATATAAGCTATGGAGTTGTACCCTCTAAGGTACAAACCTGTATGGTCTACAGTAACATACAAAGATAAGTTTGACAAAAGTATACCGGCGCTCAGTATTAGGGTCCTCGATAACATGTACGGTCGGTGACACGCTATAAACAATCAGAATTAGCGAGTTTGTAACATGTTTAATCAATCGAGTTCCATCCTTAGTCAGAAACTGCAGGAAAAAAGTTCCACGAATGGTCAGTAGAAGTAACCCCCGGCCGTCGAGGAACGTTTTCCCGCTCGCGCCAGCCCAATTTCGTCATCATTGCGGCTGGCGCGATATTTTTCCCGAGCTCCAGGCGCAGTTCGATCGAAAAAACCCAAAATGCCCAAATTAAAACCACGACTCTACAGGTCACTTGCTCGAAAAAAATTACCGCATGCGCGGCACAGTAGAATATTGATGATTAACTAGCGTAGCGCGGGTCCCGGATAGATTTGCCCTTGTGTGTCAAATATTTTTTTTTGTTGTGTGCGCCTTTGTTAATGTTTGAACAATGTTGGACCAGATGTGCGGCCCACTGTGGCCCGATTAGCTTATATGACAGAAATGTGCAAGGTCTCAATTTTTGAATTTTGTTTGCGCGACGTTCAAAGAATGTTTATTATGGGAATATTTTTCGTAGTTCTCTCGAACTGCGCCTGGAGCTCGGGACAAATTTCGCGCCTACCACAATGATGACGAAATTGGGCTGGCGCGAGCGGGAAAACGTTCCCAGACGAGCGGGGGTTACTTCTACTGACCATTTATGAAACTTTTTTCCTACAGTTTCTGACTAACCGTGGAACCCGACTGATGAATCATGTTGCGAACTCGCTAATTTTGATTGTTTATATTGTGTCACTGACCGTACATATTATCGAGGCCCCTAATACTGAGCGCTGTTGTAATTTCCCTTTTGTGCATGCAAGAAAATGGGTCGTATTGATCGTCTCAAGTAAGGTTATTTGACTTTCCGCCTTTAGTGCAGTCATTTGAATTGGAGATGATGAGTGCAATCCATTTTCTAGCAGTCATAAAGTGTATTGCCTCAAAATATGTTGTGTAATTCGTTCATTACGTTTTCCACTTCCCACACTTAGATGGGTAAGCGATTGCTTATTTTTGTCGATGACAAAAATACGCGACGCGCAGTTATGGAAAAAATTTGACACTTTTCGTGCAATTGTGGAAAACATTTACATTGTTTTGTTTTCCATAAATAATATAGGAATAATATTGTAATTAATACATTATACAATATTACAGATATTTATAGAAATCCCCTTTTATATAGTTTGGGAAGTGAGAGTTTTTTATTGTTCTTTTTTTCTCAATTATTGTCTATTTTGAAGTATAATATTTTAGGTATTTCTGATATGATACTTTCATCCAACTTGTTGCAAAGTAATTTAATGAAAATATGTAGTTTAGATGAATGATTGCTAGTATATTGGACACTAATCTCCATGTTATAAGTCAATATATCAAGAAATGACTATCTCTAAATAATTTTTTGATCATTTTTAAAATATATTTGATGAAAAAATCTCGTCATATTGATCGCAATAGGTTGCTCCGCAACTAAATATAAAACAGAGCGGAAGGAAAAGTGAGCATCAGTGCATTTTACCGGATGGAGTTTTTGCACGAATCACGATGCCTGTTGCTGTGGAAGCCATACTTCGATTTTACAGGGTTGATGTACTGTAAATCGAATCCATGTTCCTTCCTGTCATCATATTGCCACATCAGCAGTCAAGTCGAAGTAGGGACACACGAATCCCATTGGCCACAAAGTTGGTGCACCTTCCAACCGGATTCGCTGTTCGTCTTCCAACAGGGTCTGTGATTTCGCTGTGGGTCATCGCGACACTCTGGGTGTTTGTAGGGTCGACGATTGGTTCTGGATTTTTTTAGCAAGAGACAGAAGTATCCCCAAAATTAGTTGTTTGAGCCGAAAACATGCTCGTGAGGGGTCAGAAAATTTACAGAAAATAAAGAAAACCATTCGTATCGCCAGCATTGCAGTGGAAGACTGAGCTGACGGGAATGGTGGGAGTCTGAGTTGCGACCGTTCCCAACCTCTGTTTGGAACGTCCGTAGGAACTCGCTCTGACAGAAGTCTTTGCGGAAACACAGTAGCACTTAGCTTAAATCTGATTTTTGAGTGGCTCTGGAACACGCCCGTTAGTTGTGATATAACTGACGCGTATTATTGAGGGATGGATGGTGCAATTGTATGCTTTTTCTTTGGCCACAACCATTGGATCCATTTCGTGGGGCTGGAAGGAAACCACACCACACACACACACCCGCCTTCATTCAGGGTGTTGTCCGATGATAACCCCGCTGCTTCTGGCGTTGGCAAGGCACGTTCGACGTACACATTTGTTAACCCACCACTCAGAAACAGTTTCCCGCGTTTCTCGTAGCTGAGCATTTACTTATGGTACTTACGCAACGTCGAGTGTCCAGTCATGATGAAAACCACACGAATGCCACTCCCAGAAATCGGGATTTCTGCCGCCACCACCCACGTGCGTGCGCCTCCTTGCCTCCTCGAGCCTGACCACTAGGGCCTCGAGTGCTCAGCACAAAATCCCCCGCTTGGACCCAACCACGGCGAAGGAAAAACCCAGAAGTTGCTTGCTGTGCTGTTGCCAAAATTTGTATTTACAGCTGGTAACCTACAGTCGCCGAGCTGCCAGAATCCAAGTTTTTATCTGACGGAAGATCGTGGGCTTTCGTTCCAGCCTTGATTTGCTAACGAGGCGACGAGATGGGCGAAAAGCAAAAGTTCAGTTAACGAAATGGGGTTTCTTCGTGGTTCACGAACGGGCCTGCACCCGCACCATATGCCAACTGGTAACTCCACTCGCTGTTCTGCGAGAACCCAAGACCCCTCAACCTTATAAGTGCAGGCAGCCTTGCTCGGCTGACGAGGCGGCGACGCATGCGAAGAAGCCGATACCCGTCACATGAACGCGCGACATAATACCGTCTTCGTCGTATCGTCCTGCTAACAGGTCTGCGCTTCTTTTCCAAAAGCAGCCAATGCGTGGAGATGAGGCTCAAGACTCGAGGGTCAAGACTTCAATTCCAGTGGCCCAATCGTGCAGAGTGCTTCCTTCTGCAAACCCCAATTGTAGAACCGTACCTGTTTTTTCTACCAGTAGTACCTACCACCTCATGCTAAGCTGGTTCCCGCGGGAAGACAAGGCAACGTTCCCTCGATTGGTGCAGTGGCCGAGGTTCTAGAACCCCAGCCTCCATGGCGGACATATCCGTGGACCGGAAAAACCCGAGCCTAGGCTGTGCTAGCATCTCCGAGGGCCCTGACTCGGCGTGCTCGTATGAGTCATCTGCAACAAGTAGCAGACAGACAGGTGCAGCCTGCGGTACGCAAAAGATCATCTACGAACAAAGTATCAACGTGGCTAGTCGTCCACGCGTGTGACGAGCGGCGGCGGATGAGGTTACGTTCTCGCGTCCAGCAGTGCTGGTCGTGCTAGTCGTTTTCAACCTCTCAGGCTGAGTCTTCTCGCGCGTCACTCACGGCCTGCTATCGCCGCAATCCTTCCGATGTCGCTCTACTGATTCGTAGTACAAATTGAGCCCTCTGATTTCTCCTTCACAGCAGCAAACATTCCATCTCGCAGCTCTCGAGACCAGCTTCGACTCGAAATCCCGCAAATTCCCTCAGAACTTCAGACTCAAGTTCGTTCTCCAGTCTCCGTGACTCCCTCGCGCCTTCATCCTTCCGTCTGTAATTTTCCATCAAGCCTAGAGGAGTAGTTTTGTCTCCCCCCGCTCGCAGCAATCATGGTTAACCAGGCCTGTGCTACCAGCAAGCACGCATCGTCGTTCCTTGCGCGATTGGACGGCCGCACAGCGGGATCCGACCCCATAATTGCTACCACCATGGTTTACAGAGTGGAGCCTCAGCAGCAGCCTGGTTATCAACACCACAGACTCTATGGTTCGCTGCGCATCCGCGTCGAAGCGCTGGAAACCGACCAGCTCGATGACGTCAGCAATGACGCGTCGGCCGGCGGTATCGTTTACTTGGGAGATCGCCGCGTGCCGAGGTTACCCTGTTACGTGGATTTGACTTCGTCGGGCGCGCTGATGGGCTTTCGCTACGCCGTGGAGCTGAACGCAGACGACGACGACGAGAACAGCAATAACGACGAACACTTCATGCAGCGAAGGGAGGAGATTCTTGGAGCGCGAAACGGCACTCCGCGTGCTGTTACGGATCACCACGGCAGGAAGAGGGACAGGAAAGAATCAATTGCTTTCAGAAGTGGCTCGTTGCAGTGACCCTCAGCCATTACAGCAAATCTCCGGTCTGGCGTCATTTCTGGGAAATGGAAGATAATTCCACGCTGACTCCAGGGACTGCTGCTTCCCGTGATGAGGAAGACCTGTGAAACTGCCTGAAATGGTCCTAGGTGGATAATGAGCAGTTTTTGTACATACGGTATACCCAATAAGGGATTGAACGGGATGAGATGGGAAAGATCTCAGAGTAATGAATTGACTAGAATAGGAGATACAGGGTGAGTTTGTACAAGTGTGTTGTACCCACTATGAGCGTGTTCCTACGAGCCTCTTCCCAGGCAACCTCTTCCCAGACTTACGCGTGACCTTGAGAACGTGTTCCCAGGACCATTTTTCAGAATACTCCCGTTCCATATTTGCGTTCCAACGCTCTCAACCACATAAAACCAGCTGGCATCTAAAACTTACTGTGTAGATTTGAACTTGTCTGTGTAATAATTTGACAGGTGATGCAGGAGACCAAGTATAGAACCTGCAAATACTAACACTTGGAAAACCTCAAGTGTTAACCTAGGATCTTTACTGGAACGATAGATTAGTACCGTAATCCCCCGTATATAACACCCACCGAAATAGTCACTCCGCGGGTGGTTTATGCGGGGTAGAGCTTATGATAGGGTGAATTTAGGAGAGCAGTGAGCTGTATAGGGCCACCTCTTAGAGGGTACAACACTTAGGTATATTCACCTGTACTCTCTCTCTACTCAATTATTCAGTTCTCACTTTGTTATGGTATCACGCGTAGGTTAGGATCCCCCACCTACCAGCTTCCGCTCCTACCCTACCTAGGCCCCACCGCGCCTCTCCTAGCCCCGTCGCGCCTCCTAGCCCAGTCGCGCCCCTTCTGGGCCCCGTCGCGCCTCCTAGCCCAGCCGCGCCCCTCCTGGGCCCTGCCGCGCCTCCTAGCCCAGTCGCGCCCCTCCTGGGCCCTGCCGCGCCTCCTAGCCCAGTCGCGCCCCTCCTGGGCCCTATCGCGCCTCCTAGCCCAGCCGCGCCCCTCCTGGGCCCCGTCGCGCCTCCTAGCCCAGCCGCGCCCCTCCTGGGCCCTGCCGCGCCTCCTAGCCCAGTCGCGCCCCTCCTGAGCCCCGTTGCGCCTCCTAGCCCAGCCGCACCCCTCCTGGGCCCTATCGCGCCTCCTAGCCCAGTCGCGCCCCTCCTGGGCCCTGCCGCGCCTCCTAGCCCAGTCGCGCCCCTCCTGGGCCCCGTCGCGCCTCCTAGCCCAGCCGCGCCCCTCCCGGGCCCTTCGCGCCTCCTAGCCCAGCCGCGCCCCTCCTGGGCCCTATCGCGCCTCCTAGCCCAGCCGCGCCCCTCCTGGGCCCTTCGTGCCTCCTAGCCCAGTCGCGCCCCTCCTGGGCCCCGTCGCGCCTCCTAGCCCAGCCGCGCCCCCCCCTGGGCCCTGCCGCGCCTCATAGTCCGGTCGCGCCCCTCCTGGGCCCCGTCGCGCCTCCTAGCCCAGCCGCGCCCCTCCTGGGCTCTATCGCGCCTCCTAGCCCAGTCGCGCCCCTCATGGGCCCTGCCGCACGTCCTGGGCCCGGTCCCGTCCCCCCCCTAGCCCCGTCGCGCCCCTTCTGGGCCCCGTCGCGCCCCTCTTGGGCCCCGTCCCGCCCTTAGTCCCGTCGCGCCCTGCCCGGCCCCGTCGCGCCCCGTCTGGCCCCGTCGCGACCGCCTGGCCCCGTCGCGCCCTGCCTGGCCCCGCCGCGCCCGTCCCAGCCGGCCCCGCGCCCGCCCTCCTGACCTTCCCGCACGTCCCAGCCGGCCCCGCGCCCGTCCCGTCGGCCTGGTGCCCGCTGCTACTGGCCCCCGCGCCCGCCTTGCCCCGAGCTGTGTGCGGCCCACTCGTCGTCACTGCCCCGGCCCTGCATCCTCCCTGGTATTGTTCCTCATCACCTGCACCACACTGCACTGCACGGTACCGCCCTGCACCGCACTGCACCGCGGTGCACCGCACTACACCGCACTGCACCGCCTTGCACCGCACTGCATCGCCCTGCGCCGCACTGCACCGCACTGCACTACACTGCATCGTACTGCACCGCCCTGCTCTGCACTGCGCCGCACTGTACGGTCCTGCACTGCTCCTGATGGCGGCGGAGCTTCGTTTCGACGCTGAAGGCCAGCCACTGGAGTTCGAGGCGTGGCTCGCCGACCTTCGCCGCCAACTCACCGGTCATCGGCAGGATGGCCACCCGGATTCCGCACACCTTGACGGTACGCTCCCCTGTCCAGACCCCCCTGCTGTGCTGCCCACTGACCCCACACCTGCCGTGCGCGAGTCCACTGCAGCCGCTGCCCTTGCGCGCTCTGTCTGGCTTTCCCGGGACGCTGTTGCTCAGCTCGCCATTAGCAATGCCCTTCCCCCGCCTGAGCGCCCTCGCTTTAGGTCCATCACTACCGCCCAGGCTTACTTAGATGCTGTCATCAAGCGCTATTCCACCCCTCCTGCTGCCTCAGTGGGTCGCCTGATCCTCCCGATGCTCTTTCCCGTCCTTGCGTCTTTCCCCACTGTCTCTGACCTAGCTGCCCACCTGCGCTCGATAGATGAGACCTGGCGCGCTGCCTGCACTGACGCCCAGCTTAGAGCCCACCAGCCGCCCATTACCTCTACCCTCTACCTGCTTGCTACCCGCCTCCCTGACCGCCTTGCCGCCGCCCGCGACCGCTTCCTTAGCATTCACCCCGGTGAGCTCACCCTCACCGACTTCGTAGACACCCTGACTGTTATCGAGACCCGCCACCGCTCCATCGCCCAGGCGAGCGGTACCGTACCGGTCCCTATCTTTCAGGGTTGTGCCCCCGCTCAGTGTACCTTCTCCGACGGCTCTGTCGCTATGGCGGAGACTGCTGCTGCAGCGCAGTTTCGGTCGGGGAAGGGCCGTCGCCCCAAGGCTGGGCGCGGCGGAGGCGGCGGGGGTGCAGGAAGGGGTGGTGGTGGAGTCGGGTCGTCTGGTGCTGGAGCTGACGAGGGGACCCTGCCCAGTCCAGCTGAGCCGCCGCCTCCGCAGTCGCAGCAGCAGCAGCAGCAGCCGCAGCAGTCGCAGCAGCCGCAGCCTCCGCAGCAGCCGCCACAGACGAGGCAGGCGAGTGTCCTCCCGCCCGGGTGGCCTGGCGCTGGCGGTGGTCGGGCGCGTAGTGGGGTGCCGAGTGGTGTTTCGGGAGGTGTGCATTGTCAGTACCAGATCCAGACCGGTCCTCGCCGCGGCTTCGTTTGCGGTAAGATCGGTCACTCCACTCCCCGCTGTTTTCGTCGCCTGGACGACCTGTTTCGTCAGCGTTTCGGTCCGTCACCCGACCTCCCGGACTGGCACAGTTTGCTTAGGCGTAGTATTCAGATTTTTGACATAGACATGGATGCCATTGTTTCTGCTCTGCATGTGATGTATGCTGATGACTCTAGTGTGCTTCCCTCTTATTACCCCTTGTTGCCTAGTGTAGGTGTGCCTAGCTTAGACTCCCCTGCTGCGTCAGGCGTAAGAACTCCTGCTTTGTTTAGCCTCGGTGCTTCCGCCACTTCCCCGCCGCCGGACGCCACTGCTGCGCTTTCCTTCACCTTGGACTCTGGAGCTTCCCGATGTTTCTTCCGCGACTCCACTACGCTGACGCCGCTTCCTGTTTCTGCTGCAGTTTCTCTTGCTGACCCCTCTGGCGGACCGGTAGTCGCTCGCAGTTCCACCACCCTTCCCTGTCCGGCGGTTCCCTCGGGCTCTCTCACAGGTCTGCATATCCCCTCGTTCTCCAGCAACCTGGTTGGTGTCGGCTGCCTCCAGGACCTTGGCGTCACCACTACGTTCCCTGTACACGAGCGGTATACGGTCTGTACCGAGGCCACCACCGGTGCCCCCCTGTCCACGTTCCCCCTGGACCCGGTGTCCGGCCTGTTCACTTTGGACACCGTGACCCCCCCGGCTGGGGCGCCCCCTCAGGTGGCTGCGTCTACCCAGGTTGCTGCTGCCTGCTCCTGTCGGTCCCTCACTCACCCGACTCTCCTTTGGCACCACCGCCTAGGTCACCCTGCGCTCCCGCGTCTGCGTCACATGTCCCAGCACGGTCTCGTCCTTGGTCTCCCTGGTTCTCTCCCCGCTTTTCCCTCCTCCCCAGCCCCACCTTGCACGCCTTGCGTCGAGGGTCGGCTTCGCCGTGCCCCTCACTCCTCCTCCTTTCCCCCTACCGCCACGCCGCTGCAGACCCTGCACATGGACGTCTGGGGCCCCGCCCCCGTCCATGGGCCGCGTCGAGAGTGCTACTGCCTTGTGCTTGTCGACGACTTCACTCGCTACACGTCGGTCTTTTTCCTGGAGCGGAGGGCCGACGTGCCTGATGCCCTCATCCCCTGGCTTGTCTCTGCCCGTGTCCACCGAGGTCTCCCTGTCTTGCGTCTCCACTCCGACCGTGGTGGCGAGTTTGCCTCCGGTGTCCTTGGTCGCTTTTGTCGCGCGGAGGGCATCACCCAGACGTTCACCCTACCGGACTCCCCACAGCAGAATGGGGTCGCTGAGCGACGCATCGGTTTGGTCATGGAGGTGGCTCGCACCTCCATGATCCATGCCGGTGCACCCCATTTTCTGTGGCCGTTCGCCGTTCGCTACGCCGCTCACCAGCTTAACCTGTGGCCGCACCCCCAGCAGCCGCAGGTTTCGCCGACCCGTCTTTGGACTGGGTCTCCTGGTGACACGTCTGCGTTCCACCTCTGGGGCTGCCTTGCTCACGTCCGTGCCTCCGGCACGGACAAGCTCACTGCCTGCACCCTTCCCTGCGTCTTCCTCGGTTTTCCCCTTGATGCGTCCGACTGACACTTCTACCACCCGCCGTCTCACCGCTTCTTTCAGTCTCGCGACGTCACCTTTGACGAGTCCGTCTCTTACTACCGTCGCTTCCCCCACCGCGGTCCCCCGGTTACCCCCTCTGTTCCTGGTCACTCCTACCCTGGTAGTCCCTGCCCCTCCCCCTCCTCCTACCCGTCCTGCGCCCTCTGGTGTGTCCCACGTCACCCCTCTTCCGTCGGTGGTCCCGGTTGAGGAGTCTTCTGACTTTTGTGGTCCTGCGGTGCAGTCCTCGCCGGCCGCCCCTCCCCAGGCGTCCCCTCCTCCACCGCCTCTGCCGCCGCTGTCGCCCATGCTGACGCAGCCGTTGTCACCTCCGCCGCCGCCGCCGCAGCCGTCGTTGTCGCTGCCGCCGCCGCCGCCGTCGCAGCACCCGTTCGTTGACTCTGGGGGTGCTGGCGTTGGAGTGCGTGCTAGTCCCAGTAGCCCTGGGGGTGGTACCGGTCCTCGAGGGGCTTCGGGCCCTGGCGGT